TTGCGTGTGGAGAGAGGGAACAAAACGTTTATTTGATGGTAGTGCGCGAGAAAATCAGTGAATTGTATTCTGGAAGCACTGCGTTCGAGTGTTTTGATCCGTGCAGCGAAGATGAACGAGCGCATCGAGGCACGTTAGACACGAGCGCTATCTGGCAGTTATCTTCGAAAACGAAGGAAGGCGAGCGCGCCCGCGGAAAAAGATGCGTGCCTGCCTCGGAGGCGATAAGGTGTAGAACGCAAAGCGATTGGCAGGGGCCACCACCGTGTCGTCTTAGCAAAAGGTTGGAAACACTTGCCTTTATAAGCGCAGCGTTTTAAACACTGCGGTCCTTAGAATTACTTATGTGTGACTTCTCTATTATAAAGACAAGCATACAAAACAATTGGCGTGTTGTTATGGTGCCTCAGGTACGCGCAATGATTGCTTTTTAATTGACAATTGCAGAAGTATGAACGCTGAAACTTCAGCAGTATTGGTGGGCACTGCGGATGGGGTTGGCCGTTGAGGGGGGGGGGAGGGGTGCCGTTTGGTGCCGTTTGGAGTATCGTAACGACGCACAAACAGACAAATGTACAAACCAACAGACCAAAATATTTGCGCTGAACTACCCCAAGAAAGACTATCTATCGTCTTTAAAAACGAAGCCAAGAATGAATAATTCACTACGGAAAAATGGCCCCTCCTCTGAATGTATGAAGCAATATAACATGTCGCGTTGCTGGGCGACTTAGTGCATTCTCTGAAAACAAAAGTAGAGCGCAAAAGAGACGAGACACGAGAGACAAGTAGCCCATTCCCGCCTACTTTTCTCCCATGTCTCGTCTTTTTCTGCGCTCTGCTCTTATATTTAGACGTAAGTAGTTTCGTTTCTGATAATAGCGAGAAGTCGAGGGCCCTGAATACCGCTGTCACACGCCGTTGCAGTCGCAACCTATAGTCTGCAGCAACACGTACGAATGTTCCTTGCTCGCAGGGATGAATAAGCCAATTGACAAGCCAGTGTGTGACGATTACAGCAGCGGCCACTGTGTGAACAGTGGTTGTCGGAGGGAGGCGTTCTAGGTTGTCATCGAAGTGCACTGCCTTCGAATCTTTAGGACCTTGTACGCATGGGTTGGTTTGGGGAGGAGCGGGAAGCGGTACGGTAAGGTTGGCTGACCCAGAAGCACCCGGATGTAGGCGGCTAGTCAGGGACAGATAAGAGCGCTCGAAGTGACGTTGGTTCGCAAAGAGGTGCTTCGTATCTCGAAAGAGGCTGCATCAAGGCAGCTGAAAGAAAGTGCTGAATGCGTAAGGACAAAAATACGCTGCAAATGTAACAAGCAAAACAATTTGATAAGTCATTTCGATGAAACGGTTAGGGTGGTAAAAAGCATACGAATACACTGCGAAAAAAAAATAGTGCTTGAAATCTGCAGATCATGCCTTACCTCTCATTTCTGCATCCAGCGGCTCTCAACGGGCACGAGGCAGTGGTCTGTTTCTTCTCCTTTTGCTAGTGCTGTTGTTTGCCTCACGATGCTCACAGCTTCACACGTCATGAGGCACTACTTGTTAAATTCCGGTAACAAAAGGCAATGATGACTACGATAGTTCTGGCGATGATGATAATGAGTCGAGACAGCAAAACGAGGAATACGCCAGGAAGTGGGTGGTTGAAAATTCATGGAGAACAAAAAATGAAGAAAATAGTATGGTCTTCATGAGGGTATATAAACTCAAGTACTATTGCTAATAAAAATGGCGATGCACTACATAAATACTTCAGAATAAAGAATGGAATAACCCCCCTTTAATGATTTTGTCTTCCACCCGAAAATTTTTTTTTCTGATTGTGGTGCAAATGAAAAAAAAATCGTTCATAACATCGGCGGCAACGAGCACGCTTTCGTGCCATAAACAGGCAATTAAAATTTTTAACTTGATGTTGAAAGTCAATAGAAAGTGACCACTAGCGCCACCCAACAGCGAATGGGGTCAAGCTTGACAATCTATTGGTAGGACAAGAAATCTTCGCAGGTAGACTTATTTTGCTCAAAAACAAACACGTTTAACTTGAAATGGTATTTTATGCACTTGAGGCACCTTTAGGTTGCGCTAGAGACCAATGTTTGCTTTTTTTTTTTCCTCGCACGTTCAAATATAGGCACCTGGTGGCGCTGCCAGCGGTGTGTTCGCTTGGCTGCATGCCTGCCTGCAAACGGCAGAGAACCGCGACCACGGCGTCTACCGCCGCCCTTGAGAACAACAAAAAAGTGTGTGCGTGCTTAAAATGACCAGTAAGGCATTTATTTCATTAATAACAAAACTTCATGAAGCCGGCGAAAACCGCACGCGGTTTCAGTTTTCGACTTTGATATCTAATGTCTTGGCCTATATTATCAACCTCACCCTCACTAACGGTGTATTTCCAGAGCAGCTAAAAGTAGCAAAAGTCACTGCAGTACATAAAGGTGGTGATATCATTACTTTAGCGAACTATCGACCTATATTCGTGCTTCCAACAATATCAAAAATATCTGAAGAGGTTATTTATGATAGACTTGCATCCTTTTTTGATAAGCACCAAATAATAACAAAAAGTCAGTATGGTTTTCAAAAAAATAAATCAACAGAACAAGCTCTACTGTATATCAAAGATAAGATTATCGAAAATATGGAAAACAAAAAATATACTCTTGGGCTCTTCCTCGATCTTCAAAAGGCATTTGACTCCACACAATTCAAATCATTGATTCATAAATTATCAAGTTATGGGGTGCGTGGAGTTGCACTACAACTGTTTAAAAGTTACCTAGAAGATCGTTATCAATATGTAAAACTGAATAACACTATTTCTGCGAAGATAAAGTTGAACCAAGGAGTCCTCCAAGGGTCTATACTGGGGCCAATATTGTTCCTTGCCTATGTAAATGATATTGTCGATATACCTCATTCTCATGAACTTATATTGTACGCTGACGATACGAATGTTTGCTTTTCATCAGACAATCTAATATCACTTGAGGTCAGTGTAAATAATTATCTAAGCAATCTTTCAAATTGGTTAAGGCAAAATGGACTGCGCTTGAATGCAAAAAAAGAAAACAACCTATATGATATTCCGACCTTTAAACAAACCTATTAGTAACATAGCTGTAAAATTCGAAGGAAATTGCATCGCACATGTTAGGGAACAAAAGTTTCTTGGTGTAGGGTTTCAGGAGGAATTAAACTGGAACACACATGTAAATCATCTGATCACCGCATTAGCACGAATAGTTGGTTGTTTTTTTAGAACAATGCACTTAATCCCATCGAGGTTAAAAATAAGTATGTACTATGCACTCTTCCATTCTAAAGTAAGTTATGGGATGTTAGTCTGGGGAACGACATCACAAGGGAATTACCATAAGTTAATAACTATACAAAAGAAAATATTGCACTGCTTTGAAAACTACAGGGGGAATCTACAAGACTTGCGCACTGCTCCACTATTCATTAAACATTCCATACTCAAAATTGATCAATTATATCATTTTAAATTACTTCAGTTAATACAAAAGACTAAGCTATATGAAGAAAGTTGCACTGGAAGACCACACTACAGTCTGCGAGAACAAAAGAAACAAGCTCCTAGAACAAGAACCCAATATGGAAAACAAAGTATTGCTTACCAGGTACCTCAGGTTTTAAATACCCTTGTAGATCAATTGAACTTTAGGGCTAGTAGTGCGACTTTCAAGAAACAAATAAAGAACTTATTCATAACCACCGGTCTACACTATCGAAACTACGTAATGGAGTCTCATGCCTCTGCAAATGCTTAAATTGTTCATAAACTTCTATGCCAATTATACGAGTGTACACAGCGGAATTCATTGTATCCGCATGCATTTTGTGTATGTTTTTGAGTTGTTTCATTGATATTGCTTAGTTGTGAATTTTAACGAGAGTGACCTCTAATTCTTAAAATGTGTTATGTAAATTTCTTATGCTATTTATGTTTGAATTTTGTGTTTACAATTTCAGGTTGCTTGAAACCAATGTATTGAATATATATATTGTTTGTCAGTGCTGATGTCTAAGCTTTGCACTGTCACGGACTGCGGAGGGACAAGGGCCTTTGTCAGGCTGTTCGCCTTTAGCCCTTTGCCCCTGCAGTGAGCTCTGTATCCGGCTTAATGTAAATAAAAATACTACTACTACTACTACTACTACTTTCACCGGAACCGACCAGTGTTGTGGGCATTTATCTCACGGATAGAAGGAGACATAACGCATACAGAATATTCTGGTTTAAAAGTTTCTACGCACTTTCTAGAGAGACCGCTGCAAGGTTAGACACTTCACATGGCACACTTTTCATTGCGACACCAAACGGAAAAGCAACGATGGATGGTAGACAATCCCTTTAACTGCCTGCGCACAGCAAGCAGAACATAAGGAGTACACATTTGGAAAGAGAAAGTACGAAGCATCTCAAACAAAATAAGCATCATTTATACGAGAAAACAAAATATAACCGCAGGAAATCACTGTAGTAATAATTAGTGTACAAGTACAACCATAACCTTGCGATGAAAATATTTGTGACGGGTCAAGCAGTATGCGGTTGACTTGTACAGCAGAGACAAATGTTTCTTTTGACCAACGTTAAGAATAGTGAGAAAAATTGTTTAAGGATTTTAGCAGAAAACAATGAAATAACATATTGCAGTCGCTCCTTCGCATATATAGGTAAATATAGTTAAATTTAACAGCCTGTAAATATTTTCTTAGATTTTTAGCAATCTTAATCAATGGGTGATATAACTAGATTACCTACAAATGTTAACCTGTAAAATCAACACAATATTTACACGCAAAAGACCGTATATTACATACATAGTGCTTCTGATTATATTTTTTCATATTCGTTTATTCCTCCCAGTATTTCTTTTTTTTTTTCGTATCTTCAGTACCTATATCATGTTCGCCGGAACTCGTAACCTACCGTGTCATGTCGTTTTTGTATACAACAACAACAACAACAACAACAACAACAACAACAACAACAACAACAACAACAACAACAACAACAACAACAACAACAACAACAACAACAACAACAACAACAACAACAACAACAACAACAACAACAACAACAACAACAACAACAACAACAACAACAACAACAACAACAACAACAACAACAACAACAACAACCACAACAACAACCACAACAACCACAACAACCACAACAACCACAACAACCACAACAACAACAACAAACACAACAACAACAAACACAACAACGACGACGACGACGACGACGACTACTACTACTACTACTACTACTACTACTACTACTAGTACAAGTGGTACTACTAGTACTAGTAGTACTACTAGTAGTACTACAAGTAGTACTACAAGTAGTACTACAAGTAGTACTACAAGCCCCGCCGCGGTGGTCTAGTGGCTAAAGTACTCGGCTGCTGACCCGCAGGGCGCGGGTTCGAATCCCGGCTGCGGCGGCTGCATTTCCGATGGAGGCGGAAATGTTGTAGGCCCGTGTGCTCAGATTTGGGTGCACGTTAAAGAACCCCAGGTGGTCTAAATTTCCGGAGCCCTCCACTACGGCGTCTCTCATAATCATATAGTGGTTTTGGCACGTTAAACCCTACATATCAATCAATCAAGTAGTACTACAAGTAGTACTAGTAGTAGTACTAGTAGTACTACTAGTAGTACTACTAGTACTACTACTATACTACTAGTACTACGACGACAACGACGTACCTTTCTTCTGGAAGCCTGGGGCCGCTTCCTAGTGACATCGCGAAATCATCGCGAGAGATTTTGAGATTGTTTGGCGCTCGATTTCCCAGCTTGTGCCAAGACTTGCCTATAGGAGTGACATGCCTATAGAGGAGAGAGAGGTTGAGCGAGCCAGAGATTTGCTGACGCTCCTTGCATAGGCACTGCGAGGCGAGAAAGTGGGAGAGAGGTGGAGCCACGGAAAAAGAAGGGTGGAGCAGACGCACATGCGCAGTAAAGCTGGTGACGCGGCACACCGGATTGAGCTCGACCCTAAACTGCTTCGCGTCTAAAAGAGCAGAATTATAAAGGTATTATACATCAGATGAGGTCGAACGCTGTTATCTTTAATTGGCGGTGGTTTTGGGCTAAAATAATTGAGTGAGGTCATAAACAGGCCTAACACTGTTTCCTCGATGACGCGAGGCCGATAGGGGAACTTTTATAAGCTAGTCACCACCACGACTTGGGCGCTGCTGCTGCTGCCTTCTCTTGAATGTATCCCCCCCCCCCTTTCTCTCGTTTTCTTTCTAACACTTTCCTTGACGTCTCACCGTTTTTTTTTTCATTCCCCGGCGGGTGTTTCAGCATTTGTTTCAGGGCACGCGCGGGAGACAGTTATAATGCACTCTGAACTCGATTTTCTTACTTTCCCGTTTTAAGTACACACGCTCGCCTCTCCTCCTCGCTGGTTCCTAGCCTCAGCTCTCCTCCTCCTACCAGGCTTTACTCTTCGCACCCATCACTCCAGTCCTCTTTCTCGCCCCTCTCCATCACTTTCACTCGCTCTGCACTCTCCCTCCATTGTACTTGCTTTTCCGTGCACCTTTTGTACTCAGTAAGGGTGCTTGCCCAATTCCTGTGGCGAATGCCCACTGGAGTTTACGCGCATACTGCGCGTACATTAGGCCTAAACAGCTCCACTATTAAAAACAAAACGAAATCGCGCTTCTCCCGTCTTCGCCTGCTGTATATAAAAATTCCATATTTATAAACAGTGGTAGGCACTGTTGACATAATCAGGTCCTTGGAGCGGCGTCACAGTGCGTAGGCTCCGCTCAGCCCAAAGTTCGCCACCGCCCTCCCTGATCAAGTGGCAAGTGGCATAGCTGCTACAAAGCTGCCTCCAAGCACCGCACGTCGGCGAAGAAGGTGGCCACACGGAAGGCTCCCCGATGTGCGGAGCTCGGAGGCAGCTATATATACCGTAGCCGCGTGTGGCGTCGTGTGCAGCAGGGAGAGGATCCATCGTTTGTTATATGCAGAAGTATCAACCGCTGTGTATCGTCCAATTTCAGAACCGCATTGAAGATAACTAGAACATGGTGATTTCACGCACAGCTAACCACGGCACAATATCGTTCGTCACAGCACGCTAGTGCGCCTGTGCATTCAGACACGCCACACGCGCGTTTATAAAAGTTTCGAATTATAAATTACTGCGTGACCAAATCCACTAATATTTAGCCGGCTTACTTGTGAGTGCACAAGAATCAACCCATAAAACAAAAATTGTGATCCGAAATTGGGTGTCATGCAATGAAAAACATTATAGGCAGGTTAGTCCAATAAAAAACAAAACAAAACAAACTACTAGGCTTAAACACCTAGCAGCGTGTTTGTGATGTTCTATTCCTTAAGATTTTTTGGGGTTCCTTGAGGATCCTTGAAGTTGAAAACTAACATAACGGTGTCGGGAGCTTGGTTTAGCGGAAGCAAGAAATACTTGGGTTGGCAGCTTAGAACAGAAAGTGTACATACGCCGATCTTTCTTCAAAAGTAAAAACAGGTTTGTCGACTGGCAATAAAAGCATGCTTGTATCGGGTAAAGTGCCTCGATACCAAGAAAGAGTCAACATAACAGAAACAAGGTGGCGAAAATCTACTTCCTGGGAAGCGGTAAAAGTTCTTCGTAAATCACACAGAGAAAAAAAAGAGAGATAGAGATAGAAGAAAGATAAAAAAAAACGCAGCTCTTAGATGGGCAACAGATTCTGAACAAGAAATGGAAACGATGCGAGCCAAAATGCCACTGTGGCCTCTTTTAAAGGGGCGAAAATTCCCTCTCAATAACACCATTTTCCTTACGCGCTCAAGCGCGCACCATCATGGATTGATAACGTTGCACTTTACTACTCGTATCAAATGAACAAACAATGCTACGATGCAATCACACGCACGAAATGGTTTTGCCGGAACATTGAACGTTTCATGACCACGATAATTCCATATTGTGGCATAGAAAATCTAGAAAACAAACGCTTATCATCCCTAGATGGGAGCGCCCATGAGTCAAAAGAAAATCGCGTTAGCTGTCAGGTTTACAGTACTGTTGCGATGGATACACCACGAACCAAAAGATTCACACGTACAGCGCAAGTGCGTTTATCTTCTGATATTTTATTACGCTGGCGCAAAAGTCGATTGGTTTATGGGGTGGCTAACAGTTAATATATGGAAACGTTACTTCCACATTAGCTTGACAGTGGCGGGTGTCACGTAGCATCGCTGTGGTCTTGACAATGCGAAGCAAAAGAAAGAAAGAAAAAAAAAGCAAACGTTAGGTGATAAGCTTCTAAATTTGCAGCTTTAAAGGGGCAATTCTTAGAGAGCTTTAATGTTAAGCCAATAAAACTCAACAAATTATGCTTCGTTCGAATAGTTTCAAAACACTCATTAGAATGCGATAAACTTTACCATAATTTTATGACTGATTATTGTTATAACTACAATGATTATAAGTAACTGATAAACTATTGTTAGAAGTGAATTTTTGAGGGTTCGTTGATTTTCTGTTTGACATAACATTAATGAAAGCTTTCTCTTCCGTGCTTATTCGCGTCTCCTTTAATTTATTCACATCTATTGCATAATTACAATAAAAATTTAAAACGGTATATTGGGGCCCCCTATACCTTCCGTAGCTTTATTATATTCTAGTTTTTATTAAAGTTACTGTTAGTTACAATAAAGAAGCGCTGAAGTACTTTTTTTAGGTAACCACGGAATTAATTAACTGGAAAAGCGTATTGACTCACAATTTCCACGCCGCAAACTTTTTAAAGTTTGTTCAGTACGAGTGGAGTTACAAAGATTTGTCGCACGCTGCAATCACATTCTCTCTTCTCTCGTCCCGATGAAAGTGCTAGAACGTAAGGCAGGAAGGAATGGGAGGGGCAAACAAAAAACGTCACGGGCACCTCATGACCTTTAGCACTTTTTTTTCTTCGAACGCGGATTTTTCAGTGCGGATCGTGCGCACAAGCCTGGACAAGGGACGGCCTCTCGCGGAAATTTCCGCAACAACCGAGCGTGCCATGTTCAGAATAAGCCAATGGCTGATAGACGGGTAATCTACGCGTCATTTTTGAGCATTTTCCGCAATTCGTCGCGGGAAAGAGAAAGCGATTTTACGCTGACTTTGATAAATTATTGAAAATTCCAGGTCACGTGCTGTGCTATAACATTTGGCTCACGTGTTTTCAGGAGCCTTCATCTAGCGGATCGGCAGGCATTTTCTGACCAAGCTCAAAAATTGTTGCAGGGCTCTTTGAATATTCTTCACTTCGCAAGGTGTATACATGCTTTTGTATGGCGTTAATACCTGCGGATTGTCTAGAATGTTTATTGAAACCTAAATAAGGATACTTTTTGTATTGCTGAGCACTTACCAGTGCTTTACATCATTTCCGGTATGGGAAAGAGTAGACCCCTGATTTGCTGAGCTTGCTTGTTCTCCAGCTAAACGACAACCAGAGAGATGAAAATGAGTGTAAATGTTATCGCATAACCTAGAATATGTTAGAACTTGGGGAAAATGACGCTGCCAGAACAACTACGAGACTTACGCCGGCCAAACAAGTTGTAGATTAGAGCTGAAAAGATAAACACAAAATAACTTATCACGCACAGCTCTTCAAACCTTTTGGAGCTAAAAGATGACACTTGTGTTGGCGTGAAAAGTGTTTCTTATGAGACTTAATGTATAAATTTCACAAACTTAAGGATGTTTCGTATAAACAATGGTGGCTCGCAGAAGAATATCTTAGAGTACCTATTAAAGAACTGTAAAAATTCACTCGGTGTTAGAAGTGTGGCAGCTTGGGCTAGTTGGTATGGCATGACGATAGTTATAGCGCGAGAACAACACGACGACACAGAGACAAGATGGACACGTAGTGTTACTTTTTTTAATTCGTTCCTGGTTATAGGTGACTGAGGATGTTACACGTGTGAAACATCCGGGCTGGTGGCTCGTTCTACTGACATACAGTCTGCGTAGTAAGTAAAATGAATTTGACAAGAAGAGTACTAAAGATGTTAACAATATTTTGTTTCGTGATTTGCTACCCATTATCGCAGGAAAAATGTCTGGTACTGTCAGCGTAGTGAGCGATGAGTGTAGATGGCATATGAATGTCCTTGAGCGCGTGGATACTTGGTGTTTCGCACATGGCTTTCATTTGTACTT